TGTTTGCTTTTCGGAGCGTGCCATCGTGGCTTGGCTCCCAGAATAACGACAAGCTCCATCGCATTTCACCCTTGCCGTTGCCGTCATGGCTTGCGGGAGAAATTTCCAGACCAGTATTCCAAGGTCCCACGCCTTAAAACGCACCACGCCCCAGCGCGCATCGGGGCGCCGTTGATTGCTTACAGTCTGCATACACTTATATTTGGTCCCGACCACATCGCAATATACTATATTAACCCTACCCGACACCCGTCCCTTTGTTTTCGGGAGCCCAACTCAAGCATTAGCGTCATACAAGAGCCTCACGTACTACAAACACTCATTTCCACAACAGTTTGACTCAAACTCCAAACTCTGTACCACCATGATGCAAACCGTCGATCTATCGCAGCCAAAGCCCATACAATATGCATCACCACCTACACCACCGGCTTCCAATACAGGCTCGCCATCCAAGTCCATGGCTGTCATGAACGAGACCGAGACCGCCAAAATGACCATTTCAACCCACCACCACATCCTCATCGTCACCGGTCCAGCAGGGTGCGGCAAGAGCACTGTTGCAAAGCACCTCTCGGACCGATATGGATTTGACTACATCGAGGGCGACGAGGTTAGCCATACCCTCTCAATCTATCTAATGCGTACTGACGTCTTTGCAGTTCCACCCAAAAGCAAACATCGACAAGATGGCCGCCGGCATCCCTCTCAACGACGAAGACCGCTGGGACTGGCTCATCCTTCTACGAGACCAGGCCATCACTGCACTGAAGAACGGAGCCAAGGGCGTCGTTGTTACCTGCAGTGCGCTCAAGAAGAAGTACCGCGACGTCATCCGCACAGCCCGCCTCTACGACGAGGACCCAAACGCCAACGTACACTTCGTCTACCTCCGCTCCGACATGGAGACCCTCCTCGCCCGCGTCCGCGCCAGACAAGGCCACTACATGAAGGACGCCATGGTTGAGAGCCAGTTCGCTGCGCTGGAAGAGCCCGACGAGACAGAGTGCAAGCAACTGAAGGATGTGGAGATCATCGACGTCAAGGGCAGCATACAAGACGTTCAGCTACTAGCCGGTGCTGCTGTTGACAAGGTTCTTGCGCAATAGCACGACGCCTGTAGCATCAGCTGGCTCTGATCTCACCTTTCGTTACGTCTTCTTTTTTTTCTGGTCGGTGTTGGGCGAGTGCGCAGGAACGCTGTGCGTGGGTTGTGGCTCCTTGGTTTACTTAGTTACGGCGTTCTATCTATATCACTATACCCTCGCGAGACGGGACAGCATACATTGTTTGCGGAAATGAACAGTTACGACTTCACAACTTCTGAGCCTTGAAATGACCTATCGTGACTACCCACCGCCAATCTTTTCCCCTGCATCCCATGACATCGGTCGGAAAGATCTTCCTCTTGTCTCAGCCTAATGCTTGTCGGTTCCTTAGTGCCCGTTTTTACACGTGTGCGATCGAACTTCCGGTGTGTGCGGATCTACCTCCTAACCCCGCTCTTCGTTACCAGCAAAGGATGCATGATGGTCCGCGGCCTCTGCACCTGTGACAGCACACGCTGATCCTTAAGTTTCTACTAAGCTACTGACTAACCTTAGTCTTGCCTGGAGATGTCACTTTTGCAACAGACCTTCTTGTTTCTCTGCTTCGGTTTGTAAATTCGAGCTACCTCATGATCCGCACCTTGAAGATGTTAGCGAGAAGTCCTGTAGCACAGCACATAGTCTCATGGTTGCAAGAGTACTTCTATCCAGCATCGTCTCTCTCATCTCTACCATCATGTATTTTCTTCCACTGTGCCCTCGATGGTTCGGAAAGCATCTGCCGTTGCATCCTCGCTCGTGTGCGTATGCTCGTGCAGTAGGCAGGTATGTTCGTAGTACGTGCAGGGGTGCAGTGGAAAATGGTTGTAGCTCAAACGAGTCTAACGTCGTAGAAGCGGATGCGAAGTTTGAAGGAATGAAGCAGTTGCACTTGCAACCTCCACATTTGCTCAAAAAAGACTCATGAAGTTTCGAGAGAGCGGAAGACACAAAGATGCGAAATGCAGAAGGCGGCGGAACGGAAATAAACAGGGATGTTACGAGTGCGACGACGATGCAGAAAAGAACAGGAATTGTGCGAGTGCGACGACAGTACAGTTTCGTAAAGACTGTTCTTAGTCTATCTATTAAACACTCACATCCTTTCTCCTATTATAGCGTGTTTTCTACGTGGAAGGCTCGCTTCTTGTGCTGCGGAAGTCACGACTGGGTCACCCCCACCCGCAGCCACGGTGAACCGCATTGCGCTAATCCCTAAGCTAGCCCGCACCGTACGGCGCGTATTCTTCATCCTTGCATCCCTTGACTACTCAACCCACCATCGCGTTCGGTCTAAGGTTATTCGCGCAGCCCGTTTGATGGACTGTGGCAACCGCCTGTTCTCACGTTCCGATGTATGGGCTACTGCGAACGACCCACGTCGTCCACACGAGCGGCACGACTGCTTCGCTTGCGATCCACTGCATAGTTCACATGTTGGATATGCAGACGGTCCTTCCATCTTCCTGAATAGGTAACAGCTCCGGTACCTGGAAGATCTAGGTGCGCTGGATCAACATGCATCCAGATGTATTTGAGCCGCGGTGGCGGGTGGTTATATCCGTCCGAGATTCTTCATTAACAACGTTCGCCCGTTAGTGCACGTTGGCTTCACCCTTTGCCATCGTTCCATTGACACAAACATGGCATTTTTGGCAGGCGTCGCAGCTCTGCTGTTTGCTGTGCCGTCTATCGCGACGGGTGCGGCAATGAGCCTCTCCGGTGGAGAGAAGGTCGCCTGCTCTAAATTGACGTCTAAATACCCCGACAGTACCTTCTCACCTGGATCCTCGGGCTACTCATACGAGACACAAGAGCGTAGGATAATGTGTTTGAAATTAGGGTCGATATATACTAACAATTCACAGCATACTGGTCAGCTACGGTGTACAGCAGCCCTGCATGCGTCTTCGTTCCTCAAAATGCCGAGCAAGTTGCCTATGCCGTCACCACAATGACCGTAACCCGTTCCAAATTTGCCATGCGAGGTGGAGGGCATATGCCGATCCCTGGTTACAACGGGATTGATGGCTCCGGCGTATTAATCTCCTCTTCCAATATGACGACCTTGTCACTTTCCTCAGACAAGTCTGTCGTCTCTGTCGGACCTGGGAACAGGTGGAGAGACGTTTACGCTTATCTGAAACCATCTGGGCTCGCAGCTGTCGGTGGTCGTGTGGGCCACGTTGGTGTTCCCGGCTTGTTACTCGGTGGCGGCATCTCTTTCTACTCATCGGAGTACGGATTCGCTTCCGACAATGTTATGAAGTATGAGGTATGTCGCCAATCTTCTGTATAAAGTTATACATGACTAAAAATGGGTAGTGTGTGCTTTCAAGTGGCCAAATCGTCGAGGCGACGGCAACGAACAAGTACTCAGATCTCTTCTGGGCATTGAGAGGCGGCGGTAATTCGTTCTGCATCGTCACACGATTTGACTTGCGACCGGTGGAGGGCAGCGACGTTCACGTCGGCATCGGTCAATTCGATCAAACTCAAGCATCCGGCTACCTGGACGGCGTGTACAACTTTGGGAAATATGGAGGGTCTGACCCAAAAGCTGCCATCATCCCGACTATTCTTACCTTCCCCGCGGCGAACATGACTGTCTATGCGGCTGCAAAGTTCTACCACTCCGTCACTGACAACCCCGAAGTATTCGAGAACTTCACTGCGCCAAAGCTCACCCCAGTCGCTGATTCATACGCACTGCAGCCTTTGGCAGACTACATCTCAGCTACAGATGCCCTGCAGCCATTAGGGCTGCGCCAGGAATTCCGTACACTTTCGTCCGTTGTTGACCGAAAGGCCGTGCAGCTCATTCACGACACCTTTGTCTCCGGCGTCAACGCCAAGTTGCCCAGTGTTGCCAATCTCCAGGCTTCGATTACCTTCCAGCCCATCACGAAGGCATTCCTCTCCCACAGCGCGAAGACTGGAGGTAATCCCCAAGGCATCGATGTTTCGAAAGCACCTTTCTTTTGGATGGTGGAGAACTTCACCTGGTCTTCAGCGAGCGATGACGCGAAAGTGCGCGCTGCTGCTGATGAGATCACAGCGAGCATAAACAGCTTGCTGCGCGCGGGATCGTATAGCGCTGACTATCTCTACATGAACGATGCTGGGAAGGGCCAGCCCATTTTCCAAAGCTATCCCGCTGCCAACTTAAGGAGGCTGAAGAGTATTCGTACTAAGTACGACCCCCTCAAGGTGTACACCAACCTAATGCCTGGTGGTTGGAAGGTCGCCGATGCATGATGAACGATCCCAACGATCTGGTCCGGCGATTGTGTACAAAACTCTATCAATACAACTCATGCATTCCCTATGAATATACAGTGTATCACCCAACGTCTTCATTAATGTGCTTCACGATAAGCTTAATCGGGAAGGAAGGTACAACATAATCGCACCATGTCCACCCGCCAGATCGGTTCGGCCGCCGCGGAACCTAGGACGATGGCTTCGAAAAGGGCCGAGATCAAGTTACGGTACCGGAGGTGCTACTTCAGTAGGATGTTCGTAATGCGAGCAACACAAAATCCCATGCAGGGTCAGCTTGGAAGAATTGTGCCGTAATTTTGCTGCCACCTGAACGCGCAGCTGTACTTCGCCGTTCAACCCGTATCAACTGGTTGTACTTGGCTCGCCATCGAGTGCACGCTATGTACGGACGGAATTATCGAAGACTACCATGTAGGAAACGGCGTATCTGCGGCATCCACCGTCTCATAGATCAGGCTTCGCGATGCAAACCAGGATGGGGCCGAATGCGAATGCGAGTCTTGGTGTTGGGATAGTGACGAAGGCGAGATGTACGATGATATTAAGACTAGATACATATCTCGCAGGTAGGCCACTCGGATTGCAGTATCATTCTTCCAGCTGTGCAGACACTGAGTCAAGATCACGATGGCGCTCAGTTACACCGATCTGATGGTAAGTCGAACTACAACTACACACTTCACAGCTTTAACTCGTAGACAGCAGTTAGTATGGACCCTCTGGGGTGTATCATTTCTCTGCACAATCCTTAGAGGCTTTCTGCGACGGAAGTCTCAGCACCGACTCTTCGCAGACGACTACTTCGTTTTCTTCGGCTTGTTCTCCTTGACTGCCCTCTCCGCAGTCATCACATGCCTGCTGCCACAGTTCTTTCTGGCGCAGGAATACTCAAAAGCGGCTATATTGGATCCACTCACGCCGTTGCCACTGACGCCGGATGAATTTATCGGGAGAACGCGTACTTCGCTGAAGTTCATGTTCAGCCAGATGCTGTTGTTTTGGACTACTCTTTGGGCTGGTAAGCTGACTTGCTAGAATGGTGAGCAGGATTTCCTACTGATATGTCACTTTAGCCAAGTTCTCCATTCTTTTCTTCTTCAGACGGCTGGTAATAGGATTGCCAGTATACATGCGTGCATGGTGGGCGTCCTTCGTACTGGTCCTACTCTTGTATCTGGCATGCATCGCCTCCAATTTCCTAACATGCCGACCACTAACCAAGTACTGGAGCGCAAGTCAGTACCCCACCCCAATACCCTCAATCTCCCATCTAACCCGTACAGCTGGATGCAGCGACCCTGAAGACCTCATCCGAGCCGACGCATCTATCAAGTTCGCAACAAGCGCAGACGTTATTGCCGACGCCCTCATCATGCTCCTCCCTCTAAAGCTCTTACGCAAACTACAAGTCTCGCCCCAACAAAAGTTCGGTCTGGCAGTCATATTCTCCCTCGGCACCATCATTATCGCCTTCGCGTTCGCACGCCTCGCACAAGTCACAAAAGCCACTTCGAACCCCGATTTAACGGCCCTTGCTGATGGACCCGTACTACTCAGCATGTGGAGTCACATCGAGTCATCTGTTTCCGTCATCGTTGCTACGCTGCCGGCGTTCAGGTACTTGCTCAATGGCAAGATGGGGCGGACACGGCCGAGTCCTTCGAAGCTACCGGTATATGGTTCTGCACAACCTGCTTCATCGGGAGAGCAAAGCAGATCTCGTCGTGTGTATAGTATGCGTAGGTGGAGTCGTAAGACTACTTTGAGATTGCCGAGCAGTGAGCAGGATAGGAAGGGAAGTAACGAGTGGGGTAGTGAGACAGAGTTGAGACCGATGGCTGGGGTCGGAAAACAAGTTGACATTACCGTCGAGCGAGAACTGGGGTCGACGCGGCAATCGCTTCCACAGCGTTCGGATTCATTACCAGGGCTTGGGAAGATAGTTTAGAAATGGCATTAGTACTTAACCATTCTCGCGTTTCGAATTGTGTTCAAGGCCAGTGACCCATTGCAGGTCTGTAATTTAGAAGAGCTTGCCATCGCTCTCTCTCTCTCAGTCCTCGTGGCGCACCGTAGCCACATTCCGTAAACCCGGACGCAATCTTGCAAAAGCGAACCAAACCAGCAAAGCCACCACAGTCTCAGCGAGTATCGCGAACCGGAAAACACCAATACCCAAACCATCAATAACAGCGCCAATCGCAAATGGCGACAGAGCTGCCCCGACCTGCCCAAGAGAAGCCACAAAAGACACAGCAGCAACATGCAGCTCCGCTGGTAACAGCCGCGTAAGCACAACAACACCAGAGGGAAACATAGGACCCATGATGAACCCCAGCATCGTCATCAACCCCACAGACGCAGCCGAAGACGATATAGCAGCGAAGAGTACGTCGATGCCGATGGCGATGAGGAAGTACAGTCCTGTTGCGCGACGCACTCCCATCTTATCCGTAGCGAAGCCCAGAGTCAGTCGTCCAACCGCCATGCCAATCCAGTACCCTGAGGAAGAGAGACCAGCCACGTAAGCGGTTGAGTGGCGGCTGCGCAGCATGAATGAGACGATCCAACCCGAAATCGCTGTTTCAATGCCAACGTAGGTGAGGAAGTACGCTGCGCAGAACCAAGTAGCTCTGTATTTGAATACGGCTTTGACGTCGACCTTGGGGTCATGAGATCTTGACTGGTTGCTTTCGCGGTAGACCGACGCAGTTTCATTGCGGAAAGCAAAGACCAAGACCAGGAAAGAGAGAGCGCATGCTCCAGCCTGCAACCATTAGTCTCGGAAGATTAATATCTCAAATCCGGTAACTCACTAGTATTGAGTACCAAGTCCACCACATAAACCCCCTAGTCGTCAAAACCGTAACAACAAACGGCCCCAACGCCCCACCAACACTATAACTCCCATGCAACAGCCCAGACACCGTATTCGCCTTCTCCATACTCCCAGCCCACGCACACCAACTCCCATCTAGCAGACCCGTCCCCAGTCCCTGAAACGTGAAAGCAAGTAACAAAAGACCGAAACTAGGGTGCGTCGCTGCAGTCGCCGTAGCCAGGATCTGCAGCAGCGGACCAGCTACTGCAATTCCCCTTTGCCCGAAGCGGTAATGAACGGTATCGCTACATTGGGCTGCGATGACGTAGCCGATGGGACTGACTAGGAAGATGGATGAGACTTGCAGGTCTGTGAGGTTGTAATGTCGTGAGAGGAGGGGGAGGACGGCGCCGATGGAAGAGTTGAAGAGGCCGAGTGTGACGAAGGAGTACATGGCTGCTGCGATCTTGAGAACGAGTCGCGTATCCATGGTACCGTCGTTTGCATTTTCGGTTTCTTCTGAGTGGCCAGTGGGTCGTGTGACGACAATGAGAGGAGAGGTCTCGTTGTCGGCGCGTTGATGGGCCATGTTGTTGCTACGTCGCGCGTTCGGGACGCGCTGTTGCTGTTGGAAGGAAGGAGAGGATGTTAGTGTCAGCTTATCACGAGGTCATTCTTGGTGCAATGTGAATGGGAGGAGTCTTGGGTTGAGTGTGTTTGACTCGAGATAGATGGTATGTTGTTTGATAGTTACTTTTGATGGAAACTGCGGTCGTTGTACGGCGCTACAAACAGGTAAGCGCCGCCGAGCGCCAGCCAATGACATCATCAGCAAGTCGCGTCCTGCGATGTTCATTGTCTTCCCGCAGAAGAGCCCGTCCTCGTACGTGTGTCGATGTGGATATCCACAGTATGTAGCTTTTTGGTACCAATAGGTTCAAGGCGGCTTGTTGGCTATATCGGCATCAGTTAGGTACAGGCTTGCCAGACCGCATGTATGTGTACCTGCGCAAGCGCAACTACTACCATATCGGGCCGGCGTTGCAAGTGTCGTGTCGACGATTGCGCTCGTTTGACTGTATGCGCTGCCCTTGAAAGGTGGCTGTCGGGTGCTGCGACGACTCAATCCTCGTCGTCTGATGATGCATATCCCAGGCCGAGCGAAAGTGTGTTTCCAGGTTTGGATGTCGATTGCCCTGCTGGTGGCTTGGTTGTGTTTACGGACGTTGTCGCAGGACTCTTCGAGCCGTTGGCACTCGTTGCTGTAGATGAAACGTTTGACTTGACGCTCTCAGACTGCGCGGTCGCTTTTCCTTCGTCCACAGACTTCTTCTCTTCTAGAACGGAACTCGACTTCCTCAGCTTCACACCCTTCAACAGACCACCTTCAGCTCCCTTCTTCCTCTTCCGCCCGACTGCTGCCCATTGCGGAGCATCCTCATCTTTGGGCGCTTCTGAACTCTCTTCTTCAAGACCTTTCGCCCTCCTCTCGGCTTCTTCCCTTTGCCTGCGGAATAGATCCAGTTGTTCGAAAGTCTCTTTCTTCACATTGAGCTCCTCCTGGCGCTTCTTGTCCAAGACAGAATCCAAGTAATCGGCTTCCTCATCATCTAGAGCAACATGCAGCTTGTAACGCGCCTTTTCCTCAAATTCGGCCTGTTTCTTGTCTTTGTTGGCTTGTAAAACTTCGAAAAGGCTCGTTCCATCCTGTTGCTTCGCTAAGTCGGCTTTGGCGCGCCGGGCATCCTCAATCTCTTGCTGGGCCTTTTTCCATTCGTCATCGCGCTCGACTTCTTCACCCGCTTTGCCGCCACTGACGAATCCTGAAGACATTGCGGTCCACACTTATACGGCTAGCGCAGGATGCTGAGGGCGGTGCAGTGGATGCAGGAGTTGAACGGCAGAAAGGGAAAGAAGTAGAAACTGTTCCGGCTTCCTCATGGGCACTAGCGACAGGTGGATCGTTCTCCACACCCCACCAGTTTAACCTCGCCCGCGGGCAAATCGCGACGTGATACGTGGAGGTTTTATGCCGGTGCTTAAAGTTGCTCGGTGGAGATAGCGATGCAATGGGTGAATGTTGGCCCTGACGTAGGAGGGGTACACAACGCGTCGGCTGTGCCCCTCGCTCAGCTCACCATTCAAAAGTTTGCGCTTCCTGCCACTTTCCCATCTTCTTACATCCCAAACTTTACCTTTCAATTTATGATTCGTACTCTAGCAAGAATGGCACCCAAGAACTGGACTAAGGAGCACTTCACGCTCAACACTGGCGCAAAGATCCCCGCTGTCGGTCTCGGCACATGGCAATCAAAGCCTGGTGAGGTTCGTGAGGCTGTCAAGGCCGCTCTCGAGGGAGGATACCGCCACATCGACACCGCGCTTGCTTATGGCAACGAGAAGGAGGTCGGCCAGGGTATCAAGGACTCTGGTGTTCCCCGTGAGCAGATCTGGGTTACTACCAAGCTTGACAACCCATGGCACAAGCGCGTCGAAGAGGGCATCAACACCTCTCTGAAGGACCTTGGTCTTGACTACGTTGACCTTTACCTCATGGTATGTTTGTCAAAGTCCAATTTCCCATCAGGCGAAATACTTACAAACCTCCAGCACTGGCCTTCATCAACCGACCCCGATGACCTCAAGAAGCACTACCCCGACTGGGACTTCAAGGACACCTGGGCTGAGATGCAGAAGCTCCCCGAGTCTGGCCGCGTGAAGAACATTGGTGTCTCCAACTTCGCCATCCAGAACCTCGAAAAGCTGTTCGCCGACTCGCGTACCAAGATCACACCCGCCGTCAACCAGATCGAGCTCCACCCGAACAACCCCTCGTAAGTTAATTACCAACGGCTTACCCACATGCATGTAAATTAACAGTGACACCAGACCCAAGCTCCTCGACTACCTCAAGGAGAAGGGCATCCACGCCACCGCCTACTCCTGCCTCGGCTCAACCGACTCTCCCCTGTACAAGAACGAGAAGCTCAAGAAGCTCGCCGACAGCAAGGGCAAGTCTGTCCAGCAAGTTCTGCTCATGTGGGGTCTCCAGCGCGGCTCCAGCGTCATTCCCAAGTCTGTCACAGCATCCCGCATCATGGGTAACTTCCAGCTTGATGGCTGGGAGCTGACGGACGAGGAGATGAAGGAGATCAACGCGCTGCCTGAGCGCTTCAAGGTCTGCGGTGACTCTTGGCTGCCGGTCAAGGTCTTCTTTGGCGATGACGAGTAGGTCTTTTGAGGGGACCGATGGCTTTACGTACAATGATACCATGAATGAACAAATCGATGACAACATATGATCTTGAGCTGCCCAGTGCGTGGTGCGTGTGTGATGCTGCGGAGTAAAGTCGGGAATGAGCGTTGGAGCCTGTTCCGGGGTTGGGTGGCGATTTGTCATGTGATCTCGCGTTTTGGCGCTTACGAGACGCGCCTGATCTAGATTCCCGCTCGCCACTCATCCTTCCCTTCTGCACAGCACATTCACAAATCCAGTACAACCACCTTTCCATAAAATTTACCGTCTTTGATCCGTCAAGATGAGCGCCGAAGAAGAGCAATTCGAGGACAGCACCATGGGTGGCCCTGGAGCCCCCACTCCCGTGTCTGCGCTTGAGGTAGGCTTTCTCGGCCTTTGGGCGCGCGACAGACACTGACAAGACCTCAGGGAGTCAACGGATTGACTGCACGCGACATCAAGTTGATTGTAGAAGGCGGCTTCAACACCGTAGAGTCCATTGCCTATACGTATGCAGACCACTAAACAGGAATTGGCCCCGCCACTAACGCCAGGCAGACCACGGCGAGCCCTCGAACAAATAAAGGGCATTTCGGAACAAAAGGCTTCGAAGTTGCTTGCAGAGGGTACGTGGCCATGACAATGCTCCATCGCTTGTTGCTTACTTCGATAGCATCCAAACTCGTCCCTATGGGCTTCACCACGGCTACCGAGATGCACTCCCGCCGCAGCGAATTGATTTCCATCACGACCGGCTCAAAACAACTGGACACACTTCTGGCAGGCGGTATCGAAACAGGTTCCATAACGGAGATATTTGGCGAGTTCCGAACGGGAAAGAGTCAGATCTGCCATACCCTAGCCGTTACCTGCCAGCTGCCGTTCGACATGGGAGGTGGTGAGGGCAAATGCTTGTACATCGATACTGAAGGTACCTTCCGCCCAGTCCGTTGTCTGGCTGTCGCAAA